TTGCAGAGCTCAATCAAACTGGACGAAGGTCTCAGTTAGCCTTTGCTGCATGCGGCTCTTCTTCATGATGCAGTTTGCTCAATAATATTCCCTAACAAACCTCTGAGGAATTCAGTCTTAATTCAGCTTCCAAAAAGCAGGAGCTTCAACGCAAACAGTACGCAGAGCTGGAGGAAGTTGTACATTTCATCACGAAAAAGTTGTGCCAACGAATCAAACAAGTCATCCCCACAAGTTATGGTTTTTTTTTCTTTTCTCCAATGTTATCCAACGGATTCAGTATATTTTGGATGTGAAATTTGTAAAAAAAAAACAAACAAAAAAAACACTTGCATGGAAAAATAACATTTTACTTTCTACATTTCTATGTCTTAGTATGTGTTAATTCTATTGTCTGAGCCATCACTCTTGAGTGCATCTGTAATACTCATGTGCCTTGAAATTGCCCTTTGGGGATAAATAAAGTTATTTGAATTGAACTGAAGCAAGATAAAGAAAGATCCTAAGCACTAACTTAACGACTCAAAAAAAAGAAAAAAAAAAAAAAGAAAAAGAAAAGGAAAAACCTCAACTGGATGTTCTTACTTGTACATGTAGCTTTCAGTTCTGCTAGTGTTACCAAAATGATGAATGAATAAGCTATCATTATCGTGACATTGATTCAGTTTATGAGCTGGAGACAGTAAACTCTTCACAGGTTATTAATAACATAAAGTTTGTGTCTTTGCTTCTTACCGCCTTGGTAGACAATGAGGGAGTGAGACTGAAAGCTGCTATCAGCATCAGGCAGACCGAGCGTTGTGTAGGCCAGCAGGCTGTATTTGGCTCCCCTGGTTGAGGGTAGACACAAATATAGAGCACTCTTCAAACATACTGACCGTTTCTTTAAAAACAAAACAAAAAAACACTTCATCCTACCAGTCGAGTTCTATAAATAAATTTTTGTAAACTTTTCACCCTCAGGTCAACACAAGATTAATGTAGGAACATTCAAGTACAAACATTTGACCCCGTTTATAGTCATAAAACAATCTATGAATATCTGAAGGTTAAATATAGACTACCACACATATTTATTTAAGCCTTATTTGGATATTTGGAGTGATCTGTTGAAAAATCCCATACAAAGCATTCAGATTTGTACAGAGTTGCAGAGTCAAAACAGCGAGGGGAGGGGACGGATATCTCAATGAGAAACTCCAGGAGACGGTGCAGGATTTGTTAGACGATACAAACACATACGAAGGTATTGGGTTGTCCAGCAGGAAGGTGTCGGGATCTGGAGTGTCCAGCAGGGAGCAGAGCTTCTTTCCAGAGCTCCTTCCAAAGGAGTTACGGAGCTTCTTTGCAAGTTTCTTTGGCGTGTTCGGTAAAGTGAGCTCTTCCTCCATGGAACAGCTCCACAGCTCCACCTTCAGTTCAAACTGGGGAACTACATCTTTGCTACAAAGAAAGAATCTCAGTCAAATGAAAATATGTAAAGTACGTAGATGGCACACAACACACACTGGAGAATGATTAAAAATAGTGTGGTTAGTAATGCCGTCAAATGACAGGTCAGTGAATATTAAAAAAAAATGTAAATGTTTGAATGTGGAAAGAAAAATAAATTGTTATATTTTGATATTCAGTTTCCCTAAACATCGTTTAAAACAAAAACAAAATAAGTGTTTGTTTCCCCGAGTGCATGAATGGGAAAATAAAACATGCAAAACATATTTACAAGAGAGCGAGTCCCTCAAAGCAGATGTCAGTGACAGATCTGTCCACCACGACCATTTCAGTGTCAAACACCTCAGAGCCGATCTGCATCAGGCAGAACGCCGCCACCCGACGGGAGCCTACCGAACACAGAGGACGTGCAGCATGTGTTAGTGCAGGGAGAAAATAAAAAGATATTAAATGCAGTGGGCGAACATACTTCCTCTGTTACTAAAATGGTCTGAATCCCTCCAAATCAAAGGAAAGCGCAGGCCTACGTAAATGAAAAAGGGGGAGAAAAAAAAAGTGGAAGTTTACTATAAAGAGCTCTCAGCAAATGGGAAAAATTGAAGATCCAGCAGGACAAATATTTTTTTACGCCACAAATGTTTACTAAAAATAGTCTCACCAGTAACCGCTACCGTCCCAGGACATGGTGAGCGACCCTCTGCGAGTCTGTGAAGCACAGACAGTACTTAAATCAACAGGTCCTTTTCTGAAAACGTCACATCTATTTTTGCCGTTCATCATCTTCCTCCAGAATTTGCCTCCTCAAAGTTAAGATCAGTATTTCCTAATACTCTGTATTGGGAGCGTACAACTTGTGTTTTTACACATCTCTTACGTGGGGCCACAGCTTTCGCCAAACTCTTTACCTTCTTTCTGCTCCCACCATGCCCCGCTCCCCTTCTTCCCGCTGCAGCTGGGCGAGGTAGGCCTTGATCCTGGCGCTGCAGGTCAGCACGTTCTTGGAAGCGTTGAGGACTTGTTCCCGTTTACTGCAAGCCACCAGCAGCTTGTACGCCCCCTCGCGCATTCTCGTCTCAAACTGAAGCTTCTCTTCTATGTTTGTACTCTGAATGGACAGGATGAATTACATTTAAGACATGCACAACAAGGCTGTAACACAAACGTGGACACGGTGGCCAACGATGAATTAAAGTTGACGATGAGTGACCCAGGCTTTGTTAAAGACTTTAACGACCCACATAACCCTAAAGGTCAGATGACATGCTAATCTTTCTGTAGGAAAAAAAAGAGCTCTCTGGGTTTGGCAAGAAATGACATCAACAGAATAAGACAAGCCTTCTTTATGGTTGTCTCTGCTACAATAAACATTTTATAATGTTAGAGTTTTTTGAGAAATCTGAAGAAAATTGTTTTTTAGTCAATTTTAAATAAATCTACCTGTTTTTTTTCCCCCCAATCCTTTTATTTAGGGATGCACGATATTTCGGCATCAATATCAGAATCGGTTAACGTTAATCACTTTTTGACTGATATAGACAACCAGTGTTTATTTACATCTTTGAAGCAATTCCCCTGAAAGAAGCAGTAATATTAACAAAAGCACAAATGTAGGAGAACGTAAATTAAGACAACATGAAATCTGGACCTACTAAAGACTTCGTCTAATAAAAAATGGATTTGATATTGGTTATCAGGCATCAAGCAACTCTTCAGTGGTTCCAAAAAAACAAAAAAAAAGTAAAAAGTAGCACTCAAAGCAAACATCTCTCAATTACGAGCAACTCAATCTACAAATGGCACGTGTAGGAAGTATTAGATTGTTTCTAAAGATGAGCATACAAACTACATATGGGATGATTAGAGACGGTGATGAAATGTTAGGTCTTCTACCAACAATGGAGTACTGATGATGATCTCTGAGAAAAAAACTCAAGAGGATTCTTGCTAAAATTGAAAACGTATATTTTGTTGTAGCCCGATGCATTTCCTTTATGACAGGGTGCTTATTAACTATGATTAAGATATAAATAAATACGCAGCTATTGTTTTCAAGAACCCAGAAATCATCAGTCTCCTTGTAGGGAGTGAAATTTGCACATGTAGCTTCTTGGAAATCTGTCGTATGTGCAACAAATTAACATCCTCTATTATCTGCAGGGTGTCTTTCAGAAGGCTTGGGCGTCGTTTCATGCATTTAGCCTAAAATCAGACGAGTTCGAACCGTGTTACAGAGAAATGAAGACAAAGTAGACACAATGCAGAGGATCTGTGGAAGCCGATGCTTCCTTCAAGAACAAAGTTCGAGAAATAAAGAGCAAAACTGTTACAATATTGCAATTAAACATTCTGATGAAAACGGGAATATTATTAGAACAGTACAATGAAATCCGCATATCTCGGTCCCATTGTGCTAGCATTATTGGACTTTGCACCCCCTCCGGGCATCGAGTGACTTGTCAATATAATTCACACCCTGACGACATACATAACAAAGCCGTGTCTCTGTCTCTTCAAACTTACCTCTTTTTGTAGGAAGAAAGCATTTTCGCGTATTTTCTTTCGCTTAATCTCCATGGCCATGGCAGAACCAGCAGATAACACCGATTTGTAGCTCCCGTGTCGTTTGGATGTTTGAACATCCCGCTTGTCCTCCATGTTTTCTGTCTATTCGCTACTCAAAACACGAAACTACGCATTCCTGCTCAGATTTCTAACGCCCCTTTCCAACGGACCTGGGTTGGCTCGATTTATACTACCTATTCTACCGGACTAAACATAACAAAAAGTCGGGGTGTGAAATTGTAAAAGGGTAATCTATGAGATTAAGCTAAAGAATTTAAAATACTTAGTAAAAAAAAATACAGATAATTATTTGAACACTGTTTCAGGTTTAAAATAAAACTCAAATTAAAAACGTGTCAATTTTTCTACGGCTTGTCCCCATGTAGAAACTTAACACTCTTACGTTGACAGATAAGAAACGTCATTACGTCAGAGCATCTGACAAAAACAACAGGATTTTGAATTTTTTTTAAACGATTTTATCATTTGGGGAATTCCATGTTCATAAAATGAAATGGCAGAAACGAAACTCCACTCCCCAGTTTTCTTTGTAACTTTGTAACTGTATTAAGAGAGTGACGGAAATTCAAACTTAAAAGAAAGATTGTTAGGAAAAAAATACCACTTAGCACTTGACTGAAAGCTAGTAGCAAATTTAATTTTTGCATTTTGAATGTTAGCATGTAGCCTGTGTTTACACAAACCTCTAGCCACGTTTTTTTGTGGTTAAGAACTATATCTAAGGTTCTTTTTTTTTTTCTTACTCTAAAAGCCATTAATCAAGCAAACAGGAAGGCATTATCAGTTGAAACTGCAGTTAGATGTTTGGGCGTCTTGTCTTGATTTCAGCTAAAATGAATACATCTGTAATAAACGTCTTGTCTGTTAGCACCATGGAAAATACCAGTAAAAATTAAATTAAGCACAAACGCAAAGAAGTTTGGTGTAAAAAGAAACAGCGGTCCACAATGCCTTCCAAAAGTAATCACGCGTGTGCAAATGTCCAAGGGGGTGTCAATACTTTTGCAAGACGCTGTATGAAGCTTATATCTGGGTCAACTGCACTTTACTCTTTGCTGCGGTGACTTTTATTTGTTTATTTTGTGTTTCTTTTGCCTACGCATTTTTGGACCAAACCGTTTCTAATCAAACAATTAATCAGTAGCTCAATCAATCATGCAATAATATAACTTTTGAAGAAGAGAAATCAAGGGAATGTTTTGTAAACTCCACCTTACACTGACAGAGAAAACATCTAATGCCAAATCACTGATCTCAGTGGAAGATCAAACAATCATGTGCCAAAATAAAATAAATAAATAAAACGCTTGACATGAATATCTTCTGCCACCTGGTGGACGATATGAAAAAAAAGTAAACTTTCTATATGTAAGACAAAATATTTGTCAAGTATAGGCATTTCATATTGTTTCACAAGATTCACAATAGCTGCTATATAAGTCACTAAAACCCCTTTAATAAACAGCACTGACATGGTTTTCAGTTCATTACAGGGCTAATGCATGTGATTTCACATACAACGTACAAACTGTAATGTCAGATTTCAGCAGAAGTTTGGTCTGAAAGTGTTCTGACACCTGTCGTTTCATGTTATTAGATTTTAACAGATGTAAATTTTTAAAAAGTCACTTTACACCAACGATATGCTTAATTCTAACATGTGTATGTACTTTCTATTTTGTTTAATGCACTCTGCAACCACAATCTCACATTGGACGTATATCTGGAATGCCATTGATAACATTGCAATTATCAGCTGATTGTACGGAAGAGGATTAGGGCCACTGGAAAAAAGAAAAAAAAATCTGACTTTAATCTCAGAATTCTGACTTCTGAGAAAAAAGTCAGAATTCTGACTTTTTTCTCTTAGCAGGGGCTATATGCATGACACTGGAGTTTGTTCCTCTTTGAGGCCCTGGTATTTCTCCAGTTTCTCGTGCTCCTTTTTCCTGATGTTGTAGTCACTTGGTATTGCTACATCCACCACAACGGCTTTCCTCTGTTGTTTATCCACCACAATGTCTGGTTGGTTTGCCATTACCATCTTGTCTGTCTGGATCTGGAAGTCCCACAGGATCTTAGCTCGGTCATTCTCCACCACCTTTGGGGGTGTTACCCACTTTGTTCTTGGGGCTTCCAGTCCATATTCTGTACACTATGCCTGCCACTTGATTAGTGGCAGGGAAAACAAGATGTTTTCCCTGCCAACATCTTGTACCCTGCTGTTATGTGCTGGACTGTCTCAGGGGCCTCCTTGCACAATCTACACCTTGGGTCTTGTCTGGTGTTTTCGTGCTATGAGCCATTTCGTGCTATGAGCCACAGCAAAGGGAAAGAGCGAGTATCCGCCAAGCTACACACAGACTCGTTGCCATAGCAACTGACAACAATGCCACTTCATGTTTTAGGATTTAACACCAAAAACACTACATTAGCTACCACTTCTACTTTACTGAATTACTTAGACATACAAACTGTAGCCCAAAACGCACATTTCATTAAAAAACGAAACAAAAACATCTTATTGCTGTCTTACCTTTACTTATCAATGAAATCCA